GACTCTTCCACATCACTGCGAATGTCCTTTGCCATCTGGGGAACAGAGCCGGGTGGAAGCTCAGAGCAGGTAGGAGCTTGGGGCAGGGCAGGGCTGGGCCAGGCTGGGATGGGGGCTCCCAGAGGCATACAGGAGCTACCCTTGCCCGATGTACCTGACCCTTCCTCAAGAAGTTGATGAGCATGCGCAGGATGAGGCCGAACCAGTACACGTGTAACACCTGCAGCATCATCAGAAGCATGTTGAAGAAGTAGTAGCCAAAGAAGGGACCCCTGTCCAAGATGGACTCATAGTAGGTGGTGTAGATGATCCTGCAGCAGGAGGGAGGGAGAGAGGAAGGGGTCTCACCAGCTGCTGTGGACCCTAGTCCTAGGAACACCTAACTTGCATAGTCTTTCTTGCTCTGGAACTTTCTGTGGCTCCCCAGTGCTGTCCCAGACTCAAGATACTTATCCACTTCCGCTGGGTACACAGCCTCTGCTCCCTGTTAAACTAGGTCAGCACAATAGACGCTGTCAGCGGGCCTTGCCCAACCATGAGCCCCAAGGGGATGCTTAGTATCCCACGGCGCTCCTAGGCGGCCCTTTCACTTCTTCTTGTATCTCCTTAGGCCCCAGCCCCTCGTCCCCTTGGATGCAACCTGAGAGAAGGTTCCTGAGTGCCCTGCCCCCTGCCCTCCACCACCTCTGGCCACTCTCTTCCTGTTTCTCCCTCACCTGCCTCCTTGCTGGCTCACCTGCCAATCCCCGGTTACTTCTCATGCAAGGAAGAGCGACACACCCTCTCTCCACCCTTCTTTGTCCCTCTGGTGACCCCCCTTTCCCTCGAGACTCTGAAGTGGCTACGGAGACTGTTTTCCTCTCATTGGCTGCTGCTTCCCAGTCTCTCCAGGCTCCCCTCTGCCTGAGGACATCAGGGGGTTCGGCCTCACTGTCCACACCGGCTCCCCAGCTGGCTCCATCCAGGCTGGTGTCTTCAGTCACCGACTGCGGATGGGGGGCTCCTACAGACGGGGGCTCCTACAGAACGGGGCCTTCGTGGGCCTGCCTCCTCCCTGTCTCTCCATAGGTCCCGCGGAGCCCGATGCCCCAGGCAGCTCCTCCTGGGCCGGTTCCCAGCCAGGACCCTGGTGGCCCTCCCGAGTCTGCACGTCCCCCACCTCACTGTACCAATGCAGTGGCTTCCGCTCTCGCCCCCGGCCCCATGTTTCCCACCGCCTGTCCCCTGTAGCCACCCGAGGGCGCTCGTGAGCTGCTCGCCGGTGCCTCCTCTGCGCGGCCCGGCCCTGGTCCTCTCCTCCCCCGCGCTGTCCGCGAGCCACGGGCTCTGCGGGCCTCTCCCTCCCTCCGGAACGCGTCTGGGGTCAGCGCGGTCCTTCTCTCACCTCCCTCCCGTAGGGTCCCTCCGCTGACTTCCAGCTACGCACTCGCGAGCTTCCCTCTCACCTTACTTCTCCCCCCTTCTCTAGACTTGGCTCCCTTGCCCCTCTGCCCGCTTCCACCCACACTGCCAGCACCCAGAGGGCAGGCGGCTTTGCACTGCTGCCCCGGCCATATGCCCACCGCCTGGCATCTTTGAGGGGCTCCATGAATATTGAGTAGAGGACTCCAGCAAGCTGCGTCCTGGTCCTCCTCCTCCCACTTCGTGTCCAGGGCTGCGCCCGATGAAGCCTGAGCCCAGTTCCCTCTCACCTCTGAGCTTTGGCATATGCTGTGCCCTGTGTCAGGCACACCCTTCCCTGCCGCCTCCTGGAAAAATCCAGCCAATACCTCCAGCTCTTCCCGGGGCAGGGCACCAAGGGCGAGGCGGGCCGGGGTTCAGACATGCCCGCCCCCCTCTAGCCCCTACGGGAGAGGGAGGCCGACTCACTGGGTGGGGAAGAGTATGAGGCGGGTGAAGAAGAAGACAAAGGAGAAGATGACGAAGAGCGCGTCGCACACCACCGTGAAGCGCGTGTAGTTGAACATCTTACAGGCCTGGGGGGGGGGCAGAGGGCGCCGCTCAGGACCCAGGCTGGCACGCAGGGCAGGGCGGCAGGGCGGGCAGGGCCGGGCGGACCTCCGCTCATCGGAAAAGCGGCGAGGCCTTAGGAGGGTGGGCGGGTTTCACCCACCCGGGAGCCTGCGAGGGCGTCCCCTCTTAGGGAGCGGGGGCGGGGCCCAGGTCCCGGGAGGTGGGGGGCAGGGTCTCCTTCTCGGGAAGACTTGGGGGGCGGGGCCTCACCCCTCAGGAGGTGAGGGGGCGGGGCCTCATCTCCAGGGCGTGCGGAGGGTCAGCCCACCTCCAGCAGGTAGTCGGCCGAGTCGTGCAGCAGCAGCACCAGGGAGCCAATGCGCAGCAGGTTCGTGCTGTAGGAGAAGGTGATCAGGGCGATAGTCACGAAGTGATGCGCCACCTGCTCCTTGAAGTCCTGCAGGAGACGGTGGGTCACCAGATGAGCCTTGGTGCCAGGAGGGGCCCCACCCTAGGGCTGGGGGCGCCCCACCCTTGGGCTGGGGGCAGGCCCTCCCAGGAGTTCCGTGTGACCTCTGGAGCCCAGGCCTCCCGGTGGTGGGGCTGCAGCCCACGGCACCCCAGCTCCCTGTCCAGAGACTGGGTCACGTCTTCCCCGTGGTGTCCCTCCCCACGGCTTCACCTTGCGCTTGATGTCAAAGGGCAGCGTGATGAGCAGTGAGATGTAGAAGCTCAGCTCCAGGAGGTACCACCAGTACAGCTTTGGCTGCAGGGTCTGTGACAGGAAGGACGGCAAGGGTAGCTGTGGGCAGCGGAGGCGCCTACCTGGCAGGCCCATGGCCCAGGACCCTCCCCATTTGCTTAAAACCAGCACAGCTGAATGCCCATGAGTGAGCAGGTGGTCAAGGCCAGCGGTTCTGTGGAGTCTCCTCACTCCTGGCCCCTCTCTACAGAACACAGGAGTAAGAGAGCCAGAGCAGCACTCAGAGAATTTCTGGTGTGTTGTTCAAGTTTGGGTCTTGGGCCTGTGGCCACCCTTGCCACTCACCTGGTTTGGGTAATTTTCCCAGCACATCACTGGAGTCCACAGCCACGACTCCTGCAAAGAAACGGGTGTCTCAAGGTCCTGAAGGTCAGACACCAGCTGCCACCCAGGGGCCAGGGCCTCCCCAGGGTTCCCGCGCAGACCCGTCCACTCTTCCCTGGCTAGTTCCACCTCTGCCCCTCTCTCCCCACGGTGGTTCATTCACTGTAGAACCTCCGCTCCTGCTGCCCAGGAGGTCTTCAGCCCAGGCCCTGCAGGTGCCTGTGGGACAGTGCGCAGTCGGGGTACTCACGTTGTACAGGACCGAGACACCACCGACGAAGGTACACAGGTAGAAGGCGAACCTCCAGCTGCAGACGGGAGGAAGCCCATGAGGCAGCTGCCCGACAGAACCCCTCCCTGGCCCTTCCCTGGCCCTGGTACCTGGCCTCGCAGAACTTCTTGGAGAGGCAGGGCCGATCCTGGTTCCGGCGTCTTCGGAACCAGCGCTGAGTCTGCCGCAGTGTGAGGCCACACTGGGCGGCCAAGAGGGCCATCTGGGACTGAAGAGGGGTGTCAGGAGTCAGGGCCACTGAGGCCTGATGGTGGCTTCCTTCCCTTGTCCCTGGATAACAGGACCTGGCTCTGCTCCCCCTCTTTGCAACCCCAGATCTTGCCTGTGAAGTAGCCATGTCTACTATTGAGAGATGGGTGTGCCCCAGAACACTGGGTGTGCCCCCAGAACACCGTCCCTAGTGCAGCAGAACACCGATGGAGAAGGGGACTGGGGATGAGGCTTTCCTACACCCAGGCAGGCGGAGGAGAGCTTGCCCTCATCCTTCCTGCAGAGGAGATTGCCACCCCCAGGCACAGCCAGACTTCTCTTCCTTCCCAAGAGCGGGGAAAGAATTACTCCTCTCCTCCCAGCCCAGAATCTGCCCACCGGGCAGCTGTGTCGGCTGATGCCCAGGATGGGGGGGGGGGACTCACTTCTTTACCCCGCCCCCACCCAGCTGGAGGGGGGGACCTCATCTCCCAGAGAGGTGAGGAGGGGGTGAGGCTTTGCTTCCCGGGCAAGCAGGGGATCCAGGTGGCGTGCAGGCTGGGCATTTGTTGGAGTGCCAGAGGACACCGTAGCTTCCCTGGCCCCCAATAAGTGGTCACATACTGCTGCCGGGCACCATCCACGGGGCAGCAGGGTGGCAGGGGCAGCAGGGTGGCAGGGGCAGCAGGGTGGCAGTGGCGACGGGCACTCACCTCCTTGGGTCTCCGCCCGGTCTCCAGGAAGTGTCTCTCCAGCGTGGCGTTGGGCTTCGCTGGCTTCCGGACCTGATCCCGCACTCCCAGCCACCGGCCCAGGGGCAGGCCTACGAATCTGAGTGCAGGGGACATGGAGCCCGTTAGCGCCCAGGAGAGAAGGGTGAGCGTGGGGGAGGTGGCAGGGGAACACGTTACAGGAGGGAAATCGGGGCCAGGAGTGGGCACACAGCAGGGCGTGAGACTGGGGGTCTTTCTTCTCCCTCTAAGAGGAAGGTCCACAGGCCCAGAGCCGAGCGAACCGTGGGGCAGGGTCAGAACTCTCCCCTGCCGCTCTGGCCTCCCACACTGGGCCCCAGAACCTTGGGTTGTACTGGACGGTGTGGGGGTGGGGGGTAGGAGCCGGACCATCGTCAGGATGTGGGGTTCCCAGGTACCTTTGCCCATCCCCAACCAAGTCGAGAGTCCCTTACTGCCTGTCCCCCAGACGCCGGGGTCCTGATTCCCGAGGGCAGGAGCAGGGCCTGCCTCCCTTAAAGTCCCCCTCCTCCAGCATCCGGCACTGCTCCAGGTTGGGGCAAAGGATTAGTGAGGACCCTGGGCAATCACCGCATTGTCCACAAGGGGGACCCCAAGGCCGGGGTGGGGCCGGAATTTCATCATTGTCCTAACATCACTCCTCATTTGGAGAAATGAGGCCCAGAGCAGCCTGGCAAGGCCCTCACCCCCACTGCAACTGTGATGGGGAACAGAGGGGGCTGGTTTACTGAGCACCTACTACCTGCCAAGTGTAGGACTGAGTCCTTATCACTGGCTCAATTGTCCTGATGGGCAAACTGGACAAAGCCCTCAGAGATGTGCCCAGGGTGGCACAATGGGTGATGGGGGGACATACCTCAAGTGTGAACCCAAGACTCAATCTTTTAACAGTTAATACCTCTGCTTCCCCCATCCCCACGGCCCTCCACAGAGACTCAGGCAAGGCCATTATTTAAATACAGTTTCCCTGCTGGGCTCCAGTAGTGGACCTGGGCACAGTGCCCACCCACTCCATCCATCCCCACTCTCCCCTGTCCCCGTGGGAGGGCTGAGACCCCTCCCTTCAAGACCCAGCTGAGTGGGGGCAGGCAACCTCCAGACCTGGGTGATCTGCTGTGTGACCTTAGCAGGTCACTAGACCTCTGTGTCCATTTAGTCTTTTGTAAAATGGACCATGTCCTGCAGCCGCATCAGATTGCGCAAGTTAAAACCCCTTAACGGCTGGGAGCTGGCCGGGAGTGGCTGGGATGGGCAGGCCTCCTAGAAGGCCATGTGCTGGATAAATACCCCTCTGTGAAGGTCCAGGGGCCCAGAGCTCAGGAAGCCCCATGAGTAGGAGCCACAAAGCAAGATGCAGGACACCCCTGTGCCCAGGATCAGGGGTGGGGCGAAGGGAGGGACCTTTGGGGGGTTCCCCTGAAGAAGGGCTAAGGGTCTGGCTCCAGGGAGGGACAAGGAATCAGCCTTAAGGCAACAGAAGAGGAACCAGGGCAAGGGCCGGAGGTCACCCAGAAGGCGGCAAGACCGAACCCAGGTGTGAGGCGGGTGGCGGGGAGGCTGTGGGGTGCAGGCTTGGGAGGGCCACTGGGGAGGTGGGGAGCCAGGCAGGGCCAGGGCAGGAGAGGGGCTGGCAGGGGGGTCTGTCTGTGTGCCCACGACTGCAGCGCAGCAGGGTCTCTGTGGGCCCTGCCGAGGGGGGGGCTGTAGGAGCAAAGACTCCCACCAGAGAGGGTGCTCAGGGGAGAGAGCACCTGGCTCCCAGCAGCACTGGTCACGCAGGAAATGACCGAAAATCCAGGGGTTTTGGCAGCCAGGTCACTGGGAATCTGGGCAGGTGGCACATCCTTGGGGAACAGGTACCAGACTGCCAGAGGTTGGGGGCAAATGGGGGGCATGAGGGGGACCAGTGTAAGGGGAGGGGGAGGGGAGGAGCTGGGGGAGGGGGTGGAGCCGGACAGACTTGCCCATGGCAGAGGGAGGAGCTTCAGGCCCTGGGTGGGAGGGAGCTGGCAGGTGTCCCTCTACTCATCTCTGAAGGCCAGACCCATGTCCTCCAAGGTCCTCAGCCCTGTTCCATGAAGGTGGGGGCACACCCAGAGTAAGCCAGCCACCAGCCACTAGAGGGAAGTGGTGCCAAGCCAGGTCCCACCCAGGACACGTGCAGATGGGGACCCACGCATGCAGGGGCACACAGGTGACAGCGTCGGCCGGAGGTAGCGCACATGGACACTCACCTCTCGAAGACGATGCGCAGGGCCACCAGGACCAGGGCTAGGGGCAGGGCCGCCAGCATGTGGTGGGGGTGGGCGAAGACCCGGCCATCGCGGTCCTCCAGCTGCTCCCAGGAGCAGTTTGGTGGTAACCAGAGCCTTTCCTGCCACAGCCACGCGTTCAGGCTGGACAGCATCCTGCGGACACAGGTGCCGCGGTCAGGACTCTGCACTGAGTCTCGGGAGCCACAGAACAAGAGCACCCTTGGCCCGCTCACTGGCCCCCCTGCCCCGCTCACGGGAGCTCCTCTGTGGCCTCAGTGAGTGGGTTCCTGGTCACAGTCCACCCTCAGCCCTCCTTTCCAGCCAACAGTGTATCATGGCCAGTTGTCAGGGCAGACATTGGCTGTGTGTCCTCAGGCAGGTGACCTAACCTCTCCAAACCTCAGGTTCATTCATAAAACAAAGACAGTCATACCCACCTCTCAGCCCAGCCTGCCCCAGTGTAGGAAGGGCTTGGCCTCCTGACCCTGCACAACCCAGCTCCTCAGGGTTATTATTCTGCACTATTCAGATGCCAACATGGTGGCCACAAGTCAAGGGAGTGGCCACTTGGGGTCTTAAACTTGAATCCTCAAATGTCAGGAAGGTGCCCTTCACTGCAGGAAGCGGCTCCAATACCCCCAAAGACAGAGGACAGAGGGGATCCAGAGTCCCTCCAGGCCCTCCTCAGAAGGTGGACTCCCCGTAGGAATGGCAGGAGGCCATCCACCCCGAGGCTGGGCCACAGCGGGGCAGAGCTGCCGCATGCCCGAGCTTGCCAGGGGAGTGACGGCTGAGGGGCAGCTGAGCAGCACCTGGTGAGCAGCCCACTCGGCCGGCCCCACCTGCTGAGGAACCCAGGCAGCTCCTCTCTCCCGAGATCTTGAGCCAAGAGCAGACAGCGCCAGTCACCAGTTGGAAAGTCTTTGTTCACTCATTCATCCATCTGTCCATGAATCGTCTGTCCACTCATCCATCTGTCCACCCATCCAGCCATCTTCTACCATCCTCCCATCTGTCAGTCCACCCACTTACTCACCCACCCACCCACCCACCCACACTTGCATTCAGGCCACAGATGTCCGCGGTTTGACTTGTCCTGTTAATGCCAGGTTGGGGCTGGGCATTAGACACAGTGGGGGAGGGGGAAAGACATTTTTGTCCCTGTGGAACTTACAGCCCTGCAGGAAGGCAGCCAGAAGACGAGATACCAGAGTGTGATGGAGCCTGAGACAAAATGCAGAGTTGGTGGCTGTGAAGGTAGTGAGCAAGGAGGGCCCTGGAAGGAGCCGAGACTCAGGGCAAAAGAGGGGAGTGTAGGAAAGGAAGGGGGCCTGGGGAAGGGGCTTTTCAGAAGATTAGCAGCAGGTGCAAAAGCCCCGAGGCAGGGTGGAACTCAGGGTGCTGGAGGTCTAGGAAGGAGGCCCTTGTGGCTGGAGTTGAGTGAATGAGGGGGACACAGGGAGGAGGTGAGGGGGGCAGGGCATGCAAGGAACAGGGGCCAGAAGGGAGATTTGGATCATTTCTCCCAACATTTTATAATGAAAAAATTCAGCCCTGCAGAGTAGCTGAAAGACTTTTACGGTGAATGCCGTGAACCCACCGTTGGATCCGCCCTTCACATTTTGTTCTGTCTGCTTCATCGCACGCCTGCCCGTCTGTCCCATCGACCCGTCCATCAGTTCATCTCATTTTCCTGGATGCATTTCAAAGTAAGCAGCAGACATCAAACCACACCCCCCAAAACATCTCGGTGTGCAGATCATTAACTCGGGCTCAATATTTGCTTACCCTTTGTTTTTTTCTTTCAAGGTAAAATTTGCTGGAGGGAATGCATCTCAAGTTTACAGTGGCTGAGTTTGGACCAATCTACGCACCTAGGTGACCCAATCTCCTCCTACCCACATTCTTTCCAGAAAGTTCTCCTGTGTCCCTTCCTGGTCAATCTCCATCTCTGCTGCCCAAAGTTAACTTCTGTCCCATACTTTTAATATTGGTCATCACAGATTAGTTTTGTCACTTCTAGAACGTCGGATAAATGGCTGCATGCGCTGCATGTGTGTGTCTGGTGTCCTGCACGCCACAGACTGTCCTGCTGCCGGGACTCCTCTGCGCCTCTGTGTCCATGGGGCGACTCCTGTGCACTGTCCGGACGAGCCAGAGTTGGCTCCTTATCGTTTGCTGATGGACACCTGGGCTGCTTCCAGCTCTGGGTAATTAGGGGCAAAGCTGCCGTGAGCACGTCCGTGTGTCCTGCGTGGGTAGAAGTGTTCCGTTTCTCGGGGGTACTCCCCGGGGTCGCAGCTGTGGGCTTCACTTTATCTAAAGCAATTGCCAACCTGCTTGCTAGGGTGGCTGTCATGTCTGTCACTTCCGTCAGTGGCAGCGAGGTGCTGTTGTCCTTGGTGTTGAGATCAAAGTCTAGGGCTGTCGGTTGCCACGCATGGGGTGGCCTCTAGAACCCCGAAGGGGTGCTGTGGACTGTCCCAATGAAGCAAGGTGGTGAGAAGGGTCTAGACGCAGAGAAAACTGGGGTGAGGAAGGGCCAAGAGCCGAAGGCCTCAGCAAAGGCCCAAGTGTGAGCCGAGGAGGCTGGAGGGGTGGGGAGGCAGCGGTCAAAGAATACAAAATTTCAGTTAGGAGTAAGCTCAAGGATCTCTTGAAGAGCATGGTGACCACGGTAACAATGTATTATATATTTGAAAACTGCTCCGAGTGGACTTTAAGTGTTCTCAGCACACACAAAAAGGCACCCGTGTGACATAATGCCTAGGTGCTTTAATGTAGCCATTGCACAATGTATACACGCTACAAATATATACATGTTTCTTTTTGTCCTGGGGTTTTTAACCCAGGGGTGCTTTTTCACTGAGCTACATCCTCCCCTTCTTTAAATTTTGAGACAGGGTTTTGCTAAACTAATAAGGCTGGCCTCTAACCTGCAATCCTCCTACCTCCGCCTCCCGAGTCCCTGGGATAATGTGCCACTGAGCCCAGTCATCACACACACAGTTTTTGTCTATTAAAAATGAACTCATGTAGAGTTCTTGCCTAGCATTCATGAGGTCTTGGGTTTGACCCCCAATACTGCAAACAATAAAAACATCAGCAAAAATAAAATAAAATAAAATTTAAAATACTGAGGGTTGGGGATGGTGGCTCGGTGCCTGGGATGTGTAAGGACCTGGGTTCCTTCCCCAAGCACTGCAACAAGAGGGAGAAAAAAAAAGCTAAAAAAAGAAAACACAAATAAACACTGAAACCAAAAGGCTCGGTGGCCGAGCACATGCTAGTGTGCGTGAGGGCCTGGGGAGACCCCCAGTGTCCCCCACGCCCCCCAAAAACAGAGAGGACCGGAGCTGCACAAGAGCACGCCGCCACACGGGCATCGCTACTGACTGGAAATCCCAACCCAGGAGTCAGCCTGTGACGCCGACGGGTTCCCTCTGGGTGCTCTCGCAAGAGACCACAAACTTGGTGGCTTTAAACAACGCAGAATCTAGGATCCGGGGTGCTGTGGGTCAGAAGTCCAAAACGGGTCTCCCTGGGCTAATGCGGGGCTCCGGAAGGCTCCGAGGAGGCTCCCCGCCGGCCTCTTGCAGATTCTGGCGGCCCCACAGCCCTCGGTAGGTGGGGGGCGCAGCTCCTGGTCTCCAGCGACTTCCCCTCTGGACCCTGCCTGTCCTCCATGAGGACTCTGGCAACACTGGCCTCCTGGCTAATCCAGGATGATCCCCCATCTCAAGGTCAGCCGATTTGCAGCCCGATTCCGTCTGCGCCCTCGCTGTGACCCTGCCCGAAACCAGCCTTCCAGACTGAAGAGCCAGGGACCCGAGGAGTAGGCTGCGTCAGGGGACAAGCTGGCTCTGCCTTGGACAAGACAAGCAGGAGGGCCTCGGTGTCCCCACGGACACAGGAGGCGGGGTAGACTCAGGGGCCCAGGATGGGAGCAGGTGGGCGCAGGGAGGTCCGGTCAGTGTGGGGCCGAGGTTCAGACCCGTGTGGATGGCTGGTCCCCAGGAAGGGGCTGCGATGAACCAGGTCACTGAGGCGCCAGTGACATGCTGGACATCCTGTGGGGGCTCTCGAAGTCAGCAGCTAACAAGCATCGCGGGTGTGTGACAGTGGCTAGTCTAGACCCAGGACAAGAGCCAGAGGGCTGATCTCTCTAGAGAAGCCGGCTGTCATCACTGACTGGCAGCCTGCCTCATCCTGCACCTGACAGTGTTCCAGCCCTGCCTGGCGCCCCCAGCCGCGCCTGGACCCAGCCTCATGGGCACAGCCAAGGCCATGGGGGACCTCTACAGTCTCCCTCTATAGCCTCCTCTAAGGGACTCTCCCACCCACCTGAAAGACCCGAGTGCAGAAGGAGAGGGAGCTGCAGCCAGATCCCAGGAGTCCCGGGCCAGCTCCATGATTCTGCCCCAACCTGAGGGTTCTCAGATTGGGGTCCCTGGTGCATGGAGCCACCCTGAGCTGCCCATGATTCTAGGTCTCCACTTACACCCCCAGCCTCAAAACCCACGCCAGGCACTGCGTGACCCTGCACACAGAGCCGTCTTTTTACAAGTGCACTCCACTGTGCTGAGCGCTGGGACACAAAACAGTGGGAAAGGAGGTGAGGCCTCTGCCCTCAGAGCCCGCATGCCTCCCCGGTCTGTTTGCAAACTCCCGTGCATCCTCCAAAGCCCTGCTCAGTCGGCCCCATCTCCTGGAGGAACCACCTCGTGCCCATAGTTGTCCAGTTAAAGCACCTCCCCAGCTCTGCCTCCTTCACCGTGGGGTCAGGAACTGGCCAGGCTTGGGGTGGGGAAGGCAGCGTCGTTCTCAAACCTAGTCCTCCCACCTGCAGCAGGCCCCTTCTGGTCCAAAGTCACAAAGGGGACCAGAAACACACTTTCCAAGCCAGAGAACCATGACAGCAGAGGTCTCACGGAGGAGCCCTGCCCCCGACCCACCGGTCCCTGCCCACTCTCCTTCCTTTTTCTTGTGGTGCAGGGGATTGAAGCCAGGGCCTTGTGCGCGAGGCGAGCGCTCCACCAACTGGGCTACAACCCCAGGCCCACACTTTCCTTTCTTGATGCATAAATAAGTGATGCTGTGGTTTGAGAGGAGAGCAGGGTCTGGAGCCAGCAGACTGCAGTCCTGTCCCCAGTGCTTCAAGGGCTTCAGGATCCTCCTGAGGCACTCCCAGCCGTGCCCCACCCCAGACCCTGCACAGGAAGACCCAGGCAGGGCCTGGCATGCAGGAGGGGCTCAGGCATGGCTGTCACTGGGCGTCCCTGGCAGGAAAGACCCAGATTATCCTCCTGAGGGAAGAGCCCTGAGCTATAGTCCCCTTAGATTGTCACCTTTGGGACCCCAGCTCCTCTAGTTCTTCCCAGTGACACTGCCCCCCTGGGCCTTGCTTACCCATCTGTACAGTGGTCATGGCCAGGTCCCCTATGCTCTGGGCCAGGGGGTCAAGGGCAGTGGCTGAGAACCTACAAACACCCACGCAGGTATCACCTCTGACTTGCTTTTGGCCTCACTCACCAGTTGTGCAACCTCAGGCAGGTGACCTGGCTTCTCTGCCTCAGTGTCATCATCTGTAAAATGGGACCCAGAGTGGCCCCTTCCATGGGGAAGGCTGGGAATGATGCCTGGGGGGGGGCAGTGGGAGGTTTAGTGGCTGTGATGGGGGTGGGGAGGTGCTGGCCGGGTGGTCCCCAGCATCCAAGTGGCCGCACACAGCTTAGGAGCCCTCCCTAAGCCTCCTGTGTTCCCCTGGGCTGCACCCGGGGTGGCCTCCAGGTCGTGTGTGTGTGTGTGTGTGTGTGTGTGTCTGCTCCAGCATCCCCACACCTCGGCTGCCCCTGGTCCCCCAGCCTGCCTGTTCTTTGAAGCCTCCTGGCCCGGCTCCCAGCCCTGCCCTGGCACCTGGGTGGCAGCTGATAATCCTTCTTAGTGGCTAAAAATATCCCTGGGTTGAGGGAGAGAGAGAGACTAGGGCTTTGTGTCGCACAGGGCACGGGGGTGGGAAGAGCTGATCTCTCCCCTGGTCCTGGGGGGCCTGAGATTGTGTAAGCCCTTCCCCAGGGATTCCCTGAACCCCAGGAACCCGGTACCACCCCAAGAGCAGGACTGTGCACAGAGGCTGGTTTTGTTTTCAGTCCAGCTGGAAGGCAGGACTTGCCCAGATCAAGAAAATGGGAATTGGTTCTGTTGCCCCCAACGCATGCTCCCCCTCCCTCCTCAGCCGGGCTTGCTGCCTGGGTCACCTGATTCCTGTGGCCTGAGGCCCAGGCAGTAACACATGATGTGCTGCAAAGGGGTTGTTTGTAGATAACCACAGCCACCTCTGCATTGGGCCCTGGCTGTCCCTTCCAGATGGAGCCCCAGTAGCACTCTGCAGAAAGGCAGATGGCTCCAGGGTACTACCGTGCTGCTCCCTCCCAAAGACCCCAAGGAGGGCCCTAAGTCTGGGGCTCTGCCTTGTCCCGGCCTCTCATATTTAGGCACACTCTTGGCCTCCCCCTCCCTGTTTGATTCACTGCAATAGCTCACTTCTGGACTTCCAACTCAACGTGCTTCAGGGTCTTTGCACGTGCTATTCAACTTACAAGGTTCATGCTGTTTGACTTCCCAGTGACACTACAACATAGATACTGATCAGCTCAAAGTGTTGGAGTGGAACAAATTCCCCAGCCAGCCCTGAGTCTAGCTGTCTTGTCACTCTCCTTTCAGCTCACACTTTACCTCCCGAGAAATCTTCTAACACCACAACCAAAGCAGCCAGTGTTCTGTCACCTGACCCTGGGTGGTCCCTCTGGCCCTCTGGCCCTGCTCCATCTGTTTTCTTGTTTACTGTCTGCTCACTCCAAGGCACAAGCCTCACAAAAGCCAAGAATGTCGTTTGAGCCATTGCTGTGTCCTCAGGGCTTCCAACAGGCCCTGGTGTGACAGCTGGGTGCCGACTCAATGTGTGCAAAGCGGGCGAAGGAGCAGATCAGACACACAGAGGACAAGTGGGTGGGCACCCAGGACTTGCGCTCAGGGGGTCGAACTAGCTAGAAA